AGGAAAATAAAGGAGATGATTATTGTCACACAATAAAATATTAAGGCCTTACAAAATTTTGAATTTTTTTCTTTTTGATGATTAATTGCACAACGGATTGCAACCTTCTTTCATTTATTATTCCACCTTATCTACATGCCATGCGACTTGAATTCATAATTTTTTATTTTCAATAAAAGAAGATTACTAATGAATTATTTAGGTCGTTGGTTACAAATTTTTTAATATTGTTTTCATAAAACACTACTTTGTTTGATTTAACCATTACAAACAATTAATAATTATAGATATTAATTGAGAATGGATAAAACAAATTATATTTATGTATACATTATATGTTAAAATTAATTTATGAATTAATATTTTTATACATCATAATTAATTGCTTAAAGAAAAAAAATGTAATAATTTGTGTGACCTTAATATTATATGAATTTATCTAACTAGTATCTTAAGAATATAAGTTAAGGATATAATAAATATAGTTTTTTATAATTAATTTATATAAAAAATTATAAAAATTGATATATATTTTAATACTATTGACACACAGATATTTAATTTATTAATTGATTAAATTGATATCTATATTTATACTTTTTAATAAAAATTAATTACAAAAAATATATTTATTATATTCTTATAATTTATACTTTTAAACCCACAAGATATATATATATATATATATATAACCCTATATTTTATAATGTAGTCAGAATCTTTATTCAATATTGGTGACAAATCCTTTCACTTAATTTCCCTTATTTATCTCAAATCAAACATGCTGCTTGGTAGGGTCAGGATGGGGGGACCGTAGTAATAAAATGGTATTCTGGATCAACACATATCGAAAGTTGAAATAAACTTTTGGTGTGGTTAGAAGTCAAAAAATTGACTATAAATGCATTACTTTCCCGATGCATTCTTTAAGAATTTTTTCCCTTTTTTTCTTTAAAGAAGTCATAAAGAACCGCCCAAGTTTTAAAACTCGAAAAGAGTTAGGATGAACTTATATTTTTTCGATGTTAACGATAGACTTATTCTAACGTAAATGTTAGATTGATTTTTAATTATTTATTTTAGGGTCTTTTTACCGTATTTTTATAATACATGATAAAAGTATAATAGATATATTTTCTATAATTAATTTTTATTAAAAATATAAATTTTAATTTTAATTTAATCAATCAATTAATTAAAGTTATTTATGTATCAATAATATTAAAATATATATTAATTTTTATAATTTTTTATATAAATTAATTATAAAAATATATATTTATTTTATCTTTAAAAATACATGTTAGATAAACAATTGGATAATGATGTGTGCACACCCGGGTGTGCACACACCATATAAACAAAAAAAATAAACCCATCACCAAGTTCAACTTTTTTTTTTATATGGAGGGTGCATACCCGGGTGTGGGATCCGAGTGTGCACCAATTAGTGTCCTAAACAATTTGTTTTAAAATTTTAACAATTAATGTAACATTTGTCAAAATAACTCTTAAATTTAAAAATGTGTAATTGAAAATTAGTGTAAAAGTTTCTGATCACCTTACTCTAATGTTTTTGTCAATTAAATTTTTGAAAAATTAAGAGAAAAAATGCTCTAAAATTATATTGATTCAATAAGACATCACAAACAACATATGCTTAAGATATTTTTCATTTTAATTTTTTAGAGATCTTGTTGATAAATATTTTTTATTTTAAAAGTCCACACAAACTAATAATTTTAAAAATTCACCACTACACATGCTATAAGTCGTTTTTGGAATTCTAAAATTACTTTTTACAACATTACAACATAGTAAAAAAAATATTTTAAGTTTAAATTATATGGTATATAAATAGAATAAGTTAAGAAATAAAAAAGTGTATTATTTATAAGATAAATTAAATCTAAATTGAATGTGATTAAAAATACAGCGAAACTAGCAAAACACAATAATCTCAAATAAGTTGTGATACTATTTATGTCTTGATCAAGACAAATTAAATCTCAATTAAATGGGATTAGAAGTTCGATAAGAACTTTATAGAGGATCATCTCTATAGAGGATGTGAAAGCGTTATAAGTGGGAGGAATGGCGCCTATTGGTCCAGTCTATAGAGGGTCGGTCCCAATTCCACATTTCAATGAAGCTGGCAAATTGTTGTTTAGTGTACAAGCTCAATTACCCATGGCAAAACTACAATTAAGCAAGGGCCAAAATCATGTAGAAGACATTGATGAAAACCCAAAAAGAAGACAACAGCCTTCTTCCATAAAAATGGACAGCATCAAAAGTTCCTCGGCTGCATAATTGAGCTGATGGGATGTCACCATCGTGAGCCCCATTCCTCATTCCCTTCCACTAAGGCCACAATCAAAAGCTAGCTACCAATGACTATATGC